AAGGGAAGGTTGGTAAACAATTGCTCATTGACGGTGCAAGTGGCTCTGGTTGTGTAGAGCTTGATGCCATTGGAAACACGTAGTTTGTTTCATCACATGTATTCATGCCTAACTTGTGGCTGTAAATATCCATCACAACTCAGGTGTGAAAGCTTTTAATGTTCCTACGGAATAAGTGTCGCATAACGCACAAATTACGTTTATGTAAACAATTTTTGATCGTAATACTTTGACAGAATGAGTCATTGCTCCACTTCTTTATCTACGCACCTGAAATGGCTTTCCACAGGCAAGTGATAAAATCTAAATCTAGCGCCTTGGTGGTCTGAAACTAGATCTATAAACAACAAATATGTTCATCAAACGTCCGATTGAGTTATCATCGCGCTTCAACGATTTTGCTTCAGTTGCATGTTTTATATTATAACGTAAACAGTTAACAGTCGTTTATCAGCGTAAAATATATTTCGCCCTGCAACCAAGACTTTCTAATGTAAACTTGCCTTTCGTAAAAGAAATACCAGACAGCTCCTGCGATAAGTATTTTAACTACAAATTTATACTCTGTATGTTCCTTTCAGAATCGAGACATGCATACAGTTTATTAGAGAGCTTGTTTGAACTTTGAAGAGAGGGTTGGGGGGGATCTGTTAGACACGCCCCAATCAGCCTGCCTGCGATAACAGAGCCTGCGTGCCACTAAACTGCCGTCGTGGACGGAAAATTATTTTATAGGGAAAAAAACCAGTAAGCCACTCAGTCATGGTGAAATTTAGCCTGGCTGCAAAATAAGGAAAGAAACAGAACGATCAGTTAAGCGAAGTAGTACAATTTTTTTTAAAAATTTTTTTTAAAAATTTACAAATATTCAGATATGTTTAGCTGCATATTATAAAAATCATGTCGCTATGACCCATCCAGGCTTTTCGATCGAACTACTTGTAATTGGGAAAGGTGAAACGTACCTTAATCCAGGCGCTTACGGAGGAACGAATTATGATTGCACTCTATAATGTAGGCACTAGGCAGTAAGCTCTATATTACCTATAGCCGAGGAAAACGCCTTACTGGATTGAAATTCTCCTTGCCGTTAGGCAACATGAATATGGTTATATGGACCTGTCCCTTAGCGGTATCCGTATGAACTAAATAATTTAATAGGTAAATTGAAGACAAAAATTGGTGTGTTCAAATTTGACGTTTTCTGTGTTTTCTCATGCATTTGTCCCAGTCATGTATTTTGGCAAGCTCGCACCCAGAATTGGCATTTTGACAAAATGAGGCGTTATCGTTGATTCACCTTGTTAGGCACACAGCTGTTGTAACACTGCAAAGTACTAAAATGAAACCCAATTAAGTACCAACACGTGATGAAATTGGGCAGAAATGGTATCGTCGGGAAATTCCGCTAAAATTATAATAAAGCCGGATTTCCAGTTCCTTGCAAAAACCCACTCGCTACGAGTGCTCAACTTAAAGCTAGCATTTTCATTGGAAGAACACCCTCGCAGCGAACTTGCGAGTTCGCCATTGGGAGGACAGGAAATCCGCCTTTAAGATAAGACTTGAATATTCTCGGATCGTATTCTTCGTATAATCGTATGATTCACACAAAATAACTATCGTTTCTCCTCTGTTACACAATTTATAAAATAGTAAGATATGGTAATGCTATATGCGTAGTGTACAGTTATATTGTCGATATTACTATTTGTCATCCATCTCTCGTACCAGCTGTAAAAACACAATGATGTCGCCTATGTCCACATAATAAATTATCGGATTATCCCTGGTGACAGGATATTTTGCACAGTACTTCATAATAAGACAATCAAACGATTAACGAATACTTTAGGTTGTGCATTAGCATGGGCGTTTAACCAAACAACCGTTTAGCAGATAAAATATCTTATTGTTGTAACCTCATTGCATTTATTGTTTGCATGAAAATGATACAATAATGTCAACACCACAAACTGCAAGGTTTGGCTGCATTTCACGATGAACTCAGGCTTTGAGTATTGTGCACTTCTATTGCACTTCTTAAACTTTTAAATTACATTCAGTCTACTTATACCTTTGATTAATTATTATTCCTTTCGTTACCTTGCGTCATAGCAAATTTAAAACACTGTTTTCACTTGCAGCGGGGGTGAAGATTAAAGGGTCAGACGTGCATGAACACCACTTCTTGGGGCTCTCTTCCAATTTGAGTTTTTTTAGTTTTCTCCAACGAGCGTTTCTTCCAGCTAAAACAATGAATTTAGCTCCTAACACATGCATTTCACGTTCAACTGAAAACGACGACGAGAAACAAGAATGCAGCGTAGCTCCCTGCGATCTTGTTTTACAACACTGTTTCACACCTGATGACCTGAAAATGAAAGGCAAGCATTTTCATGCTTGATATTGGGGTATCTTACAAATAGTCGTAAGGAGATTAGCCTTTAACCCTTGATGGTGATATTATTTTATAATGTACAAGTTCACACGAGGACAGCTATGTCTAACCACAATAAGAGGCAAAGTAATCGGATAATCATGGATATAAAGCGCATTAATTACATACGATCAAATTTGAGAGGGATGAGGCATATGAACTCAAGGAGTTGATCATCTATAGAGTGTTTTTAGTGTCAAACGTGTTATATAAAATTCCCGCGCGACTCAGCCAACCACACTCGCAGGTTGTCAGCATACCAGCACAACCCCCGTTTATGTAAGGTCACGCAAATTTGATCGCAAGGGTCTGCACTAACAGCACTATCTACACTTAAAGCGTACGTTGACAATTAAAAAGTACTTCAACCTATTTCGTAGCGCAACAATGTTGAAATCCCAATAACAGATTTGCTTTATTGATTTATAGTTTCGTTGCTAAAAGATTTCGGTCATTTCAGTTCTTCATTTCGCTATCTTGGATATGCAACCTATCGTAGAATATGACATGCCATTTTTGCTGAGCTTTTCCCCGTCTTATACTGATAAATTCCAATTTCTAATTATAGTCAAAATATTTTAAGAACTAAGCAAGATTAAAAATGCCTTCATTGATATATAATTTTCGAAGTGATTTTTTATTGCCAATTTACTTTCTCGCGACTGCCCCAAATTTTAGACCCGTAACTCCATCTAAAAATTGCGGAGACGAACTTATCTGAAAATGAATAATGTTATATCAGCTAGATCAATGTATTATGTTCAGTCATAAAAGAGCGAATGTGACTACCTTTGTGGCCTTTGTTCCCTCGGGGCTATATACGAATATATTTATGAATATTATAAGTGTGCCTTTTTTATACATCCTGTTGGGCACAGGGGGATTGTCAAATCAAGCTAATTTGAATAGAAAAGTGTCCGTTTTACACTTATCATGTAAACAGGGTGGTTCTTACCCAGATATTTATACAGATCACCTATTCATATGCAGATTTACTATCGTAATTTATGCGCATAAACCTATTTCTGTAGACGGTACTTTTTATTTCGAAGGGCATTTTAGAATGGTAGCTAATAAAATTTTACTGTCTGTCGACAGGTTTTGATCGACCCTAAACGCGAACTAAGTTGTGAACAATACATCACACCAAAATACCTAACGAACGTCGTTAGAACATGTGGGAAGGATATCCATACTTAAAAGAAGATCGATCCACAAACAAAACGATTGTAAGTAAGCCAATTTTGTTATAAGATTTCGCATGGTCGGTCCTAGTACGCACTATTCATGATCGTTTGCCAATTTCGATTACAACAGTTAGTTTTACAGACATCGCAATTTTGAACCAACGGGCTCCTGGAGCCTCAAGGCCTTGCCTGACGGATAGCATAGGCTGCGGCCTGCAGTATCTAGCTTTATTGGATATACCTTGAAAATCTTGAAGATCATATCATGAAAATTAAAGCTGGTTTTCATATAACATAGTTCATCAATCGTCATAGTTCGTTCAAATGACGTAATTTGTCGTAATTCGGAAGACATTTGTCGGATTTCGCATAACAGCGCGTTACCACGAATTATGTTATATGAAAACCAGCCTTCACATCGTCAGCTTGGGTCATATATCCAAGCTAACTCTGTCGAGTTGAAACCGAATTCACATGCACCAAGAACGACATCGGTCATGAAAAGCGTGCATTTGCGAACAAAGCTTTAGGTTTAATTCGGTACAGAAATTTGCATTTTCGAATATAACTCTTTTCTTTTACGTTGTAAATTTTCACTGCAATAATGCTATACCACGATCCAATTCTGTCGAATTCAATTCATTCCGGGTGGATGTTTTATAGTTCTTTGCGCGTGTAATGTATATTGCCGGGCTTTATCAATAATCAACAGCCTACAACTGAACTGGATCCGACAAAATCGGATGGGGTAAACAGACCTTGACAATGGCGTATTGTGGCAAAATGCCGGATACATGCTGGATGTTCAAAAAACCAGTCAAAAACTGAAAAAATAACTCCATCAATACTCTGCTAAAGCCTCGCTCACTGAGTGCACTGGAAATACCCCTCCACAAGATCATGCAAGGGGCTAGAATGCTCTTTCAGCAGAAAACTCTTTTCCCATTGACGTACGGTATATCCAATTTACTGGTGTTCTGGCTGGGAAGCTATAGGGTTTGGCCCGGCCACCCGAATTAGAATATTCCTTGTATCTATCTCAACTATTGAATAAGTCCTCCATTAAATATTAACCTGCTTTGAATCATTCAAAGCCGAAATTTACCCGGAAAGTACCAGTCTACTCGCAGTTTTTTTTAACTCATTAAACTAGAACAACGCATAATTCAAGGGAGGTAGGTGGATACATACCATAAAGGCGATTCGACGCTTTGCGTGGCAACATGAATATGGTTATATGGACCTGTCTCCTATTTCGAACCCAGTGTCAGTGTGCGCGTATTCACTGGCTACTGGCAAAGAAAGCCGCAAAGGCTATGAATTTCCTCGTGTCATTGACCACCATTAACCACTGGTTTAATCACAATGGTGTTGATTTATTTCTAGCAGTATTTTCTTACTACTACTATCTTAATTTTACTGTTTATTTACTGTTTATTTACAAAATAAGTTAAACTTGTATAGTATTTACATAGACAGTAATGCAGCATTACGTGCTCTTTATGGATATACAAGTCTGTCCAGACTTCCATTTGGTGGGCTTGCTAAGGTAAAATGAAAGTGTGTTTTGAAAAAATTCTCACACCCAGCATGAGATTAAGTATTTCGATATTATGCAAGGAAAATTAACATTTACTGATGTATTTGTTTACCATCTAATCACAAGTAGACGTCCGCCGGATGTCATCTCAAAAGGTACCAACTATATTTACTTTGGAGAGAGGGTTGGAAGAGATTGCGAGGGGGCACCAAAAACCATTGAAATTATTTTGAGTGCCACTAATATATATAAAAGTATTAAAGGACGCCGATCACAAGAACCAGTATCAAGGCATGAACCAGTACCAAAGCATTATAGTACAAATCATTTGGTAAATTTTAAAATTCCAATAACCAGGACTGTGAAAGTGCAACATTACGTTTCTAAATATGTAATTTGATTGGTGCACACTCTTACTGGAGCTCAGGTCTCCTTCTGAATGATGGCATCAATGTTGGGGAAGTGAGGACTTACATAAGGAGGAGCATGAATAATTTGATAGGAGATTAAAAAAAAGGTTATTAGAAACGGAAAGGGTTTAAAAGGTGTCTCTTCCAACCACCTCCCCGGCTTTCATAATTGATGACAGGTCCCTGAGATTACGAATTAGGTTTACTAATACATGAGTAAAACTGAATATATTTATAATTATGCAACATGCGTTTGTCGTTCTCTGTCTTCGAACTCGGTTTTAATCTTCAAATTGCTCAGTTCGTACTCCTTTGCTTTAGTACGTAATGTTACAATGCTTGTTCTGCGTTGTTCCTCTCCGGGGAATTCATCTCGATTTCCAGCTGGGTGTCTCTTGGTATCGTAGGGTATCGGGGACAATTGTGGTGTTAAAGTGATTTGCGGTGAAATAACGTGTTGTCTATGGACTCCATTACACGAGCAATGATGCATTGACGTACCCAAAGGTCCCAAACTGCTGTTGGTTGAACATTCATATCGTGCTAAATACCCCCGAATGTCCATAGTGCTATGTAGATCTGGGTATAAAGAAGGATTGACACAGGGATCCTGTTGGTGATAATATGCTACAGCACTTGAGGGGTAGGGGTATGCAGCTGGGGATGGAAATGGATATCGATCAAATCCTGTACAGAATATATGAGGAGCAAATCCAAATGTCCTCATCTTTTCACGTTTTCGCCATTTAGCTCGTCTGTTCTGAAACCAAACCTGAAATAAAAATTCTCTTTTTAATAAATTATCCAAATCGCTACCACTCCCTGTTATCACACCCCTCACTACTAATACCAGAGATGTTAAATACAATACATTTGAATATTTTTGTTGTGAAGTAAACATCACTGCTGCCTTCCTAACAAAAAATATTCTGTATGAGTGTGTGCCCGTACAATTCATAAAACCATAACTTTCATGTTGGTGATTTGTGATGTCGCCTGACAGTTCAAATGGCTAACCATCTATTCTACACACAGTAATAATTATAGACTATAAGCAGTATAAACTGGTGTCTGAAAAGTGTACAGTTCCAGTACAAGCCATGCACAGTGATAGCATTGTTTTCCGGCGGAACTTTTTCATTTTGGCCAGAGTGTTCCTCTTCAATATAGTGGGCGGTTCGTCTCAGTATTACGGCAGGTTAAGCACCAAGACATCAAGATCTCTTAACCGACTATAATTGTAAATAAATTTGCCGATATAATCCAATTTAATCAAAAGACTCGCAGTCTGCCTCTCCGGCACAACAATCAAGTCGGGGTAGCAAGAAAATAAAGAGTGGAGATGACGTATCTATGAGTAATTTCACCCAAACTCTTGGTTTCTTTCAATGGTTAGCAAAATTATCACATTCATTCTATGCATAGGTCTTATATTCCGTCGTTTGTTTTTCAAATTGCAACTCCTAATAAATTCATGCTTACGTATTCATAAGAACGATCGAGGTATTTGAAATGAATTCTAATTGATCAGATTATAGGCTTTATATTGTCGATATTTTATTACTTATTAGCGTGAGGTGAACAATTTAATTAAATAATTTAAATTTTATGTTTTTAGAGATATTGTCTCGTCATTTTGTCTCCAAGGTAAACGTGTTCGATGAATTAACTAAATGCATGCCCTGCTGTCAGCATTTGCCACATACTACGTTGTCAGTTATTACAATATAGTCATCTCTGTTTTTCTACGAAAAACGACCCGTACGCAATGTAAAAGCTCTGAAATTTCTCATTTAACCCTATATATAATGCCTATTAATATGGCATACCGGTTATCTCCTCAATATGATGTTGCCCTTCTGGTGGAGTCATCACTTTTCCCATTATAGCGATAAGCGAATGTTTTTTAAAACTGATAAATCAAACGTGCATAGCAGGAAATCAGAAATTACACGCGAAGGGCCTATAGACTTATAGCACTGGGTACGTGTATTCCGGCAAAAAGCAGAAGTAAATTTATTATGCAATAAGAGTAAATCGTTTTCACTCTTGTCCAGACTATACAGCCGGACAAAAACGGTGCAATTGAAAATGCATCTTAAGTCTTGAATGATTCATCAATATTTTTAATGATTTTGATGCTTTCGTTAATAGCGTCAGGATTTTCGTTAATAAGCATGCTCTTGTGTATTTAACTTCCTCGTGCTGCATGTGAGTGAAAAAATTATTTCGCCCTCTCTCGTTTGGACAAGATAAAGCCATTAGCCATATATGGCTAGATTCACTCTGGCGAGATGTAGTATTTAATAAACTAAAGGTATTTATAGGTATAATGACTGGCAGTGTGATTGTGCTTTTATTTGTCTGGTTATACCTGTACTCTGGCCTCCGTCAGGCCAATTTTCGCAGCCAAGTCTTCGCGGGCAAAGACATCAGGATATGGTGCTTTGTCGAATGCCTTTTCAAGCTCTTCCAATTGATACGAACTAAATGTTGTCCTGTATCGCGTTTTCTTTTTCTTTGAACCATTTACTCCGTTAAGACTTGCTGACGCGTCATTTGTCGATTCATTGTCCTCCGTATCATTCTCGCTGGAAACTTCAGCATCCCCGTTCATGATTTCCTCCTCATCAACAGTTGCACTCTCATTACCGTCTGTAAATTGCATAGAGTATTTCAGTAATCAGTTTGTGCATGAATGCGGAACCAGAAGAGTATAGTAAACATGATTTAATATCACCAGGAATGATTTATTACGCAATGAAAATTTTTAATATCGTTTTCCGTTTCGCAAAACGTCGCCGTCAATCCGTCATTATTATCTTAAAAGAAGTGATAAATTAAAAATTAAATGCAAAATTGAGAAATTAATTTATTATTTCTGGTCAGAGTAAAAGAGCCCCGCTTCTCATGTCTCTACACTCCCCCTGGGGACTATACCTCCCCACATTATCAAAAAATCGTTCCATATGTATGCATGCATATATATCAGCTAGTGGAGTAGAATACACAAGCGGAAGATGAGGCAGCTATGATGCAATTTATTTAACTTAGATCTCAACATTTGCTCAGAAAGTCACTTTCATCCGACATGTAAATATAATTTATAACAGACAGATATAATTTTGAATGACAATAATGTTGCCTTTTTGTGATGTATGATTGAGATAAAATCTTCGCCTCCTACGGCATCTGAATGTAAAGCTGTTCGCATTACTTAGGACTGTGCACGTGTCTTTTTTAATCCGGTTTGTAGGAGACAAAAGGCGCTCAATTACTTAGCCAAAAATGCATCCAATTTGTTTTTGGAGGAATTACAACCTTTTATCCTTTATCAAAGAAAACAAGAGTTCTTGAAAATGGGTGACTAGTGGTTACTTCCAGGCATGACCGTGACAGATCAACTTGAGAATTGCAAAAGCAATAATTATATTCGCTACATTAAAAACTACGAGTACATTTCCACATCATATGCAAATACACACGTGCTTCGTTGTGATTTGTTGTTATTTTAGCCCAATCTGACGTATGAAATTCGAAAAATTAGAAAATGAGAAAGCCTGAGAGGTAAGATGCAGTGTCTTACGAATTTTTAAGCACATGAAATGTATTTATTAAACTTCTGAAGATATTCATATTAAAGCAATCTGGAATAATATACAACTGGTTGACGAGTCGTAATTACGTGATTAAATGCTAATTTAGTATAATTAGATATGATCCGTAGTGAACATCTGCATTGATATGCTCATTTTTAACAATATGGCATGGCCATGCACGCAAACATTAAAAAGCTACATTAGACGAAGTGAGGTCCCATATAACGCAAAAGATTCAAACTATATTTTGATGTCATTATCTTGTATAATATTGAGTGTTACTCATGCAGTTACTGTGTTAGATATACATCTGTTTTTGCATGCACGTCATAGTCAGTCTATGGTGCAATAAGCCAATAATGTATAGTGGTTCTTAGACTAGACCTACTTCACTGATCATGTATACGTTGTCAGTAAAGTCTTCTTAAGTAATCTTCGCCGGATTTTTAAACACTCGACTGGCTAAAAGATGGCGGTCAAGCCAGTGCATGTGCAGTTTTATCTTTCATGCTGCATGTTCTCCATGTTGTTCTTTAACATTTATAATTAAAAAAGTGGGGGTTAACACCAATCTTATTACGCCCTGATTCACATACCATCTTTTTTTTAAAAAATTGATATTATTTTATCTTTATATATACGCAGCCATATAATTCCAATCAATAGAAACGTCGTGATCACCAGATGGCGCTAATTAGTATAACAAACCAGCGAGTGGTCAGATAATTTTCATTTAGAATGATGGAAGGTTAGAATCATTTTCTATCCCTTTGTCCCCAAATATATTTTTCACTTTATTTATTTTTCACTTTATGATAGTATTTTTTCGGTAATATAGTGTAACTCAAAGTAAATCTTGACAAATTCCTAACGCTGCACCTAATAATTCTTGCCATTTGGATCAAATGCATATCTATAATCTAACAGCTTTTCAAGCATTTCCAAATTCATCTGACAAGGAAAAGCAGCTTTGTTTTCGATAAAACTGCGCTTATGTGCACTATATCAGCACGACATCTTTGTTTGGCGTATTAAGAAGCTGTAGTTAGTATATATAGTAAATACTTTTTGCTTTAATAGACGGATTTGGTATATTCATAAAAATCTCTTACTTCTAAAACTTCACACCCCTTAATAAATACAGCCAAAATTTGACCCACTCCGTTAACAATTCATGCATGTTGAACATGTCCATGCATGCTGCCAAACGTTTAAGTTACTCAGTGAGAAGTAGTACGCCTTACAGCCTTACAGGGTATGAAGTCTCTTAAACAAGAAATCTTCAAGTCGCAAATATCAGACTGTTAAAATGCATATTCAAGCTTATGTCCGAGGAGGATTATGATTGAAGAAATCAGGTTGAAATCATGACTATACGTTTGCTTTTCTACCATCTCAACGCTTCGCATTTCTACCATCTCAACGTTTCGACACTTCGAAAAGTTACTTCAACTTTTATTGAAATTGCCCTTAATACCGACAATACGCCCTCGATACCTTAGCCGCCCGGCATGCACAGCATATAGTTTTTTATGGGAAACAAGTCACGGGCTGCATGCTTACAGTTTTAAAAAAACACTCCCCGGCCTGCAAAAATAAAGCGAAAAGCTAATCGGACCCTGTTATACATGAACCACAGCTCACAGGTTGTCTTATTTGAGTTAACTGGAAAGTTCACTAGTCTATGTTCATAACTCGTGCCTAGGCCTCCCCCTAGCTGGTGGTCACTAAGCTAGCTCCTTCAAAGCAAACGCAACTATATAAATTACATTCTATAAACTTCCTTTAGCTTCGCTTGCCATTTTTTGTACCGAAACGTTTGTGTCGAAGTACGGCATGCAAGCATTCGTTTCAGCATTTCTAAAAATGAAAATCGCAGTTCATTTTACTATAATCAATAAAGAGCTATTTCGTATTCATGCACAAGCGTTCAGTTCGGTAATTGAATTCTCACATGAATTATAATGTCAATGATTATCAATAAAGTATTAACGCATACACCGGTTATGTCCGCTTTTCTTCATGAATTAATTAAAACGAACCACAACGCTATTAAACTCTATACCGTCAATATAATATGACATGAGTAATATATATGTAATGATAATCATATTGATGATTCGATGCATGCGTATATAACGCCAGTTCTGTATGCGAAAACCAAATTAGCTAAAGTTTGTTCCGCCACGTCAGCCGCATGTAGCTTAACTGGCCAGCCGCACTAATATATCTTTTTCAGTAAAACGGCTTCTAGATTTTAATTACATTAGCTCTCATTATAAGATTTCTAAATCTCTTAAACCAGGCGAGGGTGTATAATTAGACGTATACTTAGCTACGAGTGAAAGAAGCTTTGAACTGATAAAATAAGTTAAGCTTCTTATATAACAGACTTCTCTGAGTTTTGTTTCCTGAATGTCGTGTTATTTATCTCAATCTAGAAAATTTCATTTGAGCTGTCGCTTCACGCTTGTACATCAGCTGATTTTCAAAGATCAGAATCACCATGCACGGATTCTTTCTGAATTCTGATGTCAATATACAAAAGATTCCTACCACTTGCCTAAACTCTAAATTACCGTACAGTATAAAGTAAATGAGTCCTGATGTTGATGACAAGTGATTTACCACGGCTATATAAGCATGCATGCAGAATAATCTTTATCTTGTAGTATTCTCAAGCTTATATAAATCCAAAGCAGACTTACTTTAGCAGTTGTTAGCCTATATATCATGCATGACTGATGACTCTTTAATACTTCTGATATTTTGACTTAGCTATATATCAGTATTCAGAATTGCTGAAATCCAATGGATATAGGACATTTCATGCATGCATATGTTGATCACACTATCCGGCCTGAAGTGTTTGCACACAAAACGCTGATACGTGACAGAGCAAACGGTGGGAGTTACTATAGAATATATATGCTACAATTAGAACAACTTTACCATTTCCTATATCATAATTTCTGAGAAATGGAACTGGATGCTTTATACAATAAATTGAAAAAACCGCGCGTGCTTTATCGTTTTTTATGTGGACATGTAGCAGTACCGGTTAAATCCGGTGCTACTTTGCTGTTATAGCATGAACAATTACCGTTCACTTCTATACTGCTGTGAATTCAATGAATCTTTTATCTCGCTAGAATTAAGCTAGGAGTTTCTTCTCTACAGGGCGACTTTGATCTCTTTAATCCTGTAAGTCGCAGCAGGAAGCATGTCTTGTATATCTATAAGCAGCATATAGACTATATTCCTGCGGACGTTCTATATCATTTAAAATCATTACAAGACAAGATACTAGTTCTCTATATAATACTCAACTTGCACAACACTTGCACCCATGAAATTGTTTAACATAATACTATAATATATGGCTGGGAAATATTCCTAGATGTTGAATCTATTAGCCATGATGGCAAGATTTTCATAGCTCGTGCAACGACAAATGTCGAAAGATATATGTTCCATGCATTGCACTCCGCCAAAAATTACCACCTTTTATATTATATATATTTGTTTCATATATATTCGTTGTTTCAAGATATATTCTGTGTTTTATATGAGGTATTTTCTGACTTCAATTGGCTCCCTGTTAGATGATTTCTTCGCTTATCTACTGAATAGAGTTGGCAAAAACGTTTCGGAGGAGACTCTTTTTATTATTTAACCGTGTTTATTTCGACAAAATTATGTATTTCAGTGGTTGAAGTCTTCATGTCCTTCACATGCAGGCTTCGCTAGATTTGATCATAACATACATGCATACATGTTAATGTTAACTTGCTTTGCGCTCAAAAGAGGGGAGTATTAAGAATATTATTACTATAGGAGCAGTAAGGAGCTGGTCTTTATCCCTTACCATTATAGCCGCTAAAAATAAAAAAGCACTGTGCAAGGATCAGGTGCCGCCGGTTTAGGTGGCTCGTTGTTTTTATGCGAATAGAAATAGCTACAAAATCAAGTAAGGAAAGGTTAAAGAGGAAGAAGTTATTGCTCTGAACTGATATGTCGATTGGAAATTGGCCAAACCATTCACATTTGCTACGACCGAGGGTGAAATTGGATTTGTTCAATCACACTTAAAAATGTCAAAAAAGTCATAAAAGTAGCTATATTTCTAGAAAAGGTTAATCTTCAGTACGTTTCTAGTACCAATATAAATATATATAATTATGTAAAAATATATTTATTATAATATCAGATAATTCTTGTTTTATTCACTACCATGTATTAGCTTCCTCCCTATATATGCCTGATTTTCATCCACTATATACAGAAACTGGTCTCCAACGACAAAAACCATCTTAAAAGATACGCTGGGACTTAAAGGAACTCAGTCCGTCAGCCCTATAAGCAAAGCTTTCTCGGAGTGTTTTTTTGTTTTATATACCTCCACCAAAACCGAGTATTTTATTGTCAGGTATTAACTTGCCACCAAAGTTAAAAATACGGTACAACAATTTACGTATACAGTATGTATCAAGGCACCATATATATATCCAGTTATTTGTTGATAAATATGCTTTTTCAAGACTTTAAATATCGCTTCTGAAACTGTGTAAAAACACTAGTTGCAAACATGTAATTACGTGTATTCCATCATTTCCATGCATATACATAATAATAGAATAATTCTCATATCGCGAGACTTGTCTGTTGGATTTGATATACGTGGAACATATTCACTATATTCTATAATATACTTTTTTATTAAGGAATTATGTTATATAACTAGACTTCTCCAACACAGCTCCCTCACTATAAAGAACAAATACTGAGCTGTATATACCCTTACCTAATTGCTTCTGTGTAGTTTCTCGATCCTCTTCAGTCGCCACGGAGTGTTGATCCTGGTCTATGTCTTGGGTTGTGTCTAATTTGACTTCCTCTTTTTCTGCTACGCTTTCCAAACCAAGTATGCCACAGATACTGTGAGAAATAGGGGACTGACTGCCTTCCGCTGGTGCTCTTTTGCTGCCTTTTGCAGTGTCAGCCATTGTATACGTCGATGCTTCACGCGTTACACTGAAACTTTTGAAGATTGCGACAATATATATGTATATATAGTGAAAGACAATGATTTATCAGATGTTTAATCCAACGAGCTACAGACAAAATAGGAATACCATTAGCAGCTCAGTTATCAGCTTAAGAGTTATCTCTTCAGCGTGTATTGGAAACAAATGGACGACAACACCACAAACGTGAACCAATGAGAGTTGAAGAGGAATGATATGAGTTCTAACCTTAACTTGAAGACATTATCACAGGCGGAATGTAATTAGAACAAAGTGTAAACAGTGTAAAGCTAAACTTAGGCCCGAATAGTTTACATAACAATTCCTAAAGATACCCAATAAACACGTAATTATATTGGAATTAAAGTTTCTTGATAGGATTTGCAGTTGCACGAGGAACGAACAATCAAGGACCGAACGGGTTGCGGTTTTAGCTAAGCTCAAAATTTTATCTTCGCCCGGAGAAAGTTTTTGGTTGCTTTGGAAACTCTTTCTATAGTTCTTTTCCATCGCATCGGTTTGTCGTCCGCTGCGATGCCTTAACTATTAAAGCAAATATTGAATGAAACATGCCCAAAATATAATAATAAAATTTACACATTTACGTTGCTTTTTAATTGAATTTAATTACCGCCGTCTAAGAGGTGTCACATCATTGAAATTTAATTAGCGTAGCAATAGTTTAGCAGTGACAAAATGACGAATTATATATTTTAAAACACACACAGTAAAATGCAGTGGTTTGTACAGACGAAATTTGATTAGCCATATACAAAATGGTTTAATGTGATTCAGAAATAAATGAGATACTCATTTCAAAATGAGTTAAACTACTTATGAAACATAAATATAGGCATGTAGCGGAAATATTGATTAAATGAAATATTAAAGAAAGCTTTTGAATAATATTATAGACTTAAAAATCGATTTATTTCTCCGATAGTAGCAACGGAAAATGCAAGATAGGAAAATATTTGTTCATTAAAAGCCAAGCACTTTGTGTTTTGCGTTTGAAGTCTTTGTTAGGATGTCGTCCCGCGCCTTAGTGGAAACATTTAGGAAGAAATTAATTACGAGGTCAATTGGACGTGAAAGAGGCCGGTAATTAAATGTAAGCAGTCGGTGAATCATGGGAAAAGTCGAAGAATTAGGCTGGCAAAGGCCGAAGGAGGGGCTATTTTTTAATACAATTGTTTTAGGCCAGGAATTTCGGCTCCAGAAAACTCATTGGCCTACCGATTTACTGAATTCAGTCGCACAATATGGCTAGCATCTGTCATGGCGCCAAAATCGTTCTGAATCAAATAGATGAACAAATTCTTTGTCTTTGTTGAGAATGGTTTTAATACGTAGACTCTATTATGTTTGAACAAGCACATTGAGAAAAAAATGCCCGTTATCGTCAGATAGTAGAGCTTTTTCACAAAAAATTATGCACCTATAAAATTATGCACCTATATATATATATAAGAATAAATCAAAAAAGGCGACCGAAAATATATCACGACAATATGGCAAAATGCACAACTATACATAAATTATGAATGCATGCATGCCGCCAGGATCGCAAATCGGCCTTGTAGGACGCGTATAGACTGGCTACGCGTGGTTGAGTGAATAGTATAAGCTCTCTTTTGATGTATTTAGTTAATCTTATTAACTTTAAAGACCTTTTTCAGTCGCGGCGTGTCTGACAAATGTTTTGTTGGCGAGCAACCGTTTATTCGCGGCCGCCTTTAACTAATACGTTTATTTAATGTGAGATAATTCTTCAAAAGACACCGATGAATTGCCTTGTTGGTTCAGCATATATCGAGTCCCGAAAGGCTGAAATGAAAAATTGAAAATGAACGGCAACATTGTAAAATTTTTGGTACGAAATTCGCGTTACCCATTGGCTGTCGACTCTTCCATAACGGAACACAGTGCGCGGGGGTGCCAATTAACAGGGGTCGTATTCAATTGCCAGAACGGAGCGAAGGGCCTTTAAATATGATTCTGCGATAAAATGGCCAACGTTTGCCACATGCAACGAAGTAATAAAGCAATAATCGACATTTTGTTGTACGATAATTGCCAATGAAGGGTGAAATCTCGCTGTGTGATTTTCTAATGAAAACAGGAATCTATCGAATATCAGTGTCGTCAGCGGTCTCTTTTTAGTCTTGCCTTGAGTAAACAGTCAAACAATTGTAGATAATCCGAGTAATTATCAATAAACTTATCGGCGGTTATTCCAAAGGCTGTCGTCAAGACGCGGAAAACGAGTGTTTGAGAGGTCCTGCAACTAACTGATTGCCACATACATGAGCTATAATTTTCCCAACTTCCTAAATCCTTACCTAACATTACTTACCGAAAAGTTCTCCGTTCTAGCGCGTTGCCTTTAGTAGTTATTAAGCTATAATCATAGTTTGGTGAGAAGTGAAAAAAAGTATGAAAGTCCTATTAGTTATTTCCTCTTTTATTCTTGTACTTGGGAGTAACACTAAATTTATCCGTGTTCCAATCTAATGGATCAGAAAGTATTTATCACCATACACAGCTGGGCAACATGGATGTATATATAGTTTCCTCTGATATCAAATTGAAAATACGTCTTGATATCAAAAGGAACAAGTGATTATCGGGGTTATATTGGAGGCGTACATAGTGTTGATCATGCTGTTGATTCGATTATCATTGCTCAATCTTATTACACAATATGAAGGTGGATTGGCCTTGGGTAAATTTGGTCGGTGGGGTTATGGCCGGGTTATCATGTTTTCACTCGACGAGAATTTCAGAGTTTTGGCTGGAAATAGTTTGAATTTTCATTTAAAAAATTGTCTCATATAGTTGCCCGCAGACATGCATTCATTGTAAAAGATAAAGACTATGTGCATTTCAGTCTTCATATATATTTCTGGAGAATTCATCAAGAGATCAGCAGCCTACAGGTGTAATCGATTCTAGAAGAGTACTCGACTTATCCCTATTGAATGTGGCACGATGTAAACATCTTGTATTCAATATTCACAAATATCTTATTTTTCCGTGACTTCGTTGGGGATTATATTATCTAATATTTAAAGTTTCGGGCTTCAATATTTATCACAATCGCTAATCATTAAAAATCATGAAGAGAAATTAAAGGAACATTTTGCCGGAACATTCAAGTATACAGTGATAGGCTGGATACCGTTTATTAACCCATTGCGAATAACATGGAAACGCAAATAAAGCAACACTCGTGAAGATTTCAAAGAATTAATGAACTTTAAAGAAACACAATAGACTTTTAATTGTTCATCATGCTCAATCCATGCAGTCTAAAAAGCATAATTATTTCACAGTGTGCTATTTCAATCTTGGATTGGTTGTGTACCCATTTGCCACTAACCCGAATGGCAGGACTTTTTGCCCGCGCGTTTTCGATCTCTGCCCGATGTTCAGGTTATATAAGAAATGCAATCACAGAGCAAAATTACATGACGTATTATTCGCCTCACGAAGATTTTAAGGGTCTATCTTTGTGTTCGTTTGTTTTCATATGTTGTAATTAATAGTTGCGATGTCTTTTGTTGGTTGTTATTGTTAATACATAAAATGCGTTATTCCAAAAAATATCTACTTCATTGATCACCGCACGCCGACGTATTACGAAAGATTATAGAGCGTCGCCGATGAATTACGAAATATGAAAACCAGGCTTACGTTTTTATTACTTGATTTTACTGGGGGTTTAATCTTTGCCGGCGAAGCTTACAAGACCCGTTAATCGTTAGCAAATCTAGATGAAACAATGTGCAGCGAGATAATACCAGTGATTAGTCCCTTATTCAATATTTTCACTCTATCCCAAAATACCATGCATGTCCTTAAGTATCCTCGGTGTCCGCGTAAGAAATATATAGAAATTTGTGGGTCTCCACAGTGCCGCATTAACCACTGGCCCACTGGGCCCGGCCCCAGTATTTTGGGGGATCGAAATGTTGATTTTGACAAATGACAATAACAATTAGTAGGGTGAATAATTGTTTTAGTATAATTACAAAAGGGATTTATTGAGAAAGCGAATCTGTTGTTGGAAATACATGTTTTACAAACGTAATTCAAATGAACAGCGGCAAATAAAACAATGTTTTGTGAACAAGTGAAGACGATGAAATATTAGTTAATCACACTATGATCACATTGTATTTTTTATGCCTTGCTGACTTGTAAGTCAGGAACAATTAAAACAAATGCAGTACTTCAAGTTTTATTCAATAAATGTCAGTAATGCATGATTAATCTTGTTTTCTCGACCAGATAAACCATTTTTATCATTTTTATATTTCTAACAAGTTTGATGCGCTGCCTGCACACTACCCGGCGAAAAATCAAATTCCATGGCATGCGCACCTAACAGACCAGAGGGGGCACATAGTCACCGTGAAAAAGTTAATGCAGCACTGGGTCTCCATGCACTGACTAGGCAAAACCAACAATCTAAAAACTAATAGTAGGTAACTCATCTGACGATTTAACTTTTTAAATAGTCAAAATCTGGAGCCCTTTTTCAACCTTCCCCTAATTGCCTCGTTTGCAAACCAAGACCTACTTTTCTCGCTGACAAAGCCTTTCACTTATAGCTAAAATTAAGTAGCTAGATATTCTGCGGAGACCGTTTTGTATGAATCATACCGATTCATTTTGTGTTACCTCCAAATACACGATTCTAAGTAATTAGCAACTATGTCACTCGATCTTAACGGCTAAACTGAAAGGATTAGCAAGTTGTTACAGGCCAGTGCAATATTGTTGGCTCTTGCTCGTGAGGTTCAGCACAGTATTATTTCATCGTGTTTTCATCAAACGAGAGAACAGGTCTCCTGAAGCCAGTCGTATGTAGGCTGGATAGCCGATAGCGACGTATCCGTAGGGATAACAACCAGCCCTAGGAATATGATGAAAACACTGCGCAATCAGCTAGTCACTACGTGCAAAAACGAGTCGTGGTGCATATCAAGACAAATTAGACTTCCATTATAACAATAAATATCTTTAATATATAATTAAAAAAATATTGATATGTACAAATAAATAATAAATATTATCATTAAAGTTAAAAAATATTACGATTAATATTAATTTTCCAACAATAATTCAATGTGGAATTATAAACTTGGTAGCAATTACCTCTCTATACAATAGAGTATTTGATAGTACCTGCATGATCGCAGGTAACTTCATTCATAAGAGCTTTTTTTTGTCTAGCTGCAATTGATTTGAAACATGCATACCATGCGATGTCAATGCCTTGTACTTAACAATGGCTACTACAAAGTCACTTGGTACAAGGCAGTCATATTATATAGTATTTTTCGGTATTATTATAGTGTATTATGACAGCCCTTACTCATACATACGATAAGGTCAACTCCTACTCTGGAGACTGACATGCATATGCATGCTTTCGAGTTCGGTATAGACTGATCACAATCCCGTTCGCTGGGATCACTTCACGATCATCATTCGAGGTAACCGTCATTGACCTTTCGCGTCCCCGCTTATCTGATCTTATTAATCATGTTGAGATTCGTTTTTGATGTCTTCTTAACCAGTCCACCAGCCGCAGACTTCTTTTTCAGCTGACTTCGATCAAAACATTTCCATATTCTGAGCGTTTCGTCGGCTCCAGCCGAAGCAACATGCTCTCCGCTTGGCGACAAACTCGTACACAATACGCGAGCACTGTGGTCGACCAAATCAGCTACCTTCGTCATCGATGGATATTTCCAGATGCTCAGTTGATTCATAGAAAAACCGTGTCCAGTAACAAGTTCTTTGTACTCTTTCGACCACAATATGCTGGATATCTTAGAAGTCAGAGGGGAATATTTTCGCTAAAACGACATTATATACTTATGCTTTCAAGATGAAATTAGGCTGTTACCTGTGACTTCGTATCAATACTATTAATACATTCTCCAGTGGTTACATTCCACATCCTTATATGGCGATCTGCAGTGCCACCACCACTTGCTAACACATTGCTTTGCCATGGACACCAGGATACAGCCTGCATTCAATGAGAGAAGAGATTATATGCAGTCATAGTGGCATATAGCCATTAGATAGCAAGACTAGGGGATCATATTTACAGAGCTCAGGGGTTCACATTGACAGATCACAGATATTTCAATTGTACATACCTTGACTGCAGCTTGGTGATGAGTAAGAGAGTGCAAAGGAGCTTGACCAACAAGTGGTGACCATATATTCACAAGATTATCATTGCCACCACTAGCTAGCATGCGACCATCTGGTGACCATGCTAGACCACATACGTCCTGTGTATGTTCATGAAGTGTTGACACAACATGTTCTGCAATTCTTACATCATGATTAATTATCTTTCCATTTCGTCCACCACTGTAGCAAGATGAAAAAAAAATCACAGAATGTGCTCATTGAAGGAGCAATTATACTCATGAAGATGAAAATGCATCAATGCATCATCTGCTCATGCATGCAATCAAATTACTATATATGATATTAACCATCCATGATTGAAGATTACCTTGAAAGAATACAAGAGTTCCATGCTAAAGACCCCACTCTTCCAGCATGACCAGCAAGTGTTCGTAAACATTTTTCTTTCTCAACATCCCAAAGCTACAAAACACAGGTACACACAAGGTTTAGGCTCTCTATACGAGCTGCTGATAAACAAATTTATTCACTTGTTCGTGCATGATTGCAAAACATAAAATCTCTTACTGTTGTTGTTAACTACTGGGTGGTCATTCCTATATAGTCTGATGCTAATTCTTTAGCATGCATGTACACAGTTCCCAAATTATGTAAAAGTGGCAGCATATTTGCTCTGTGATTTGCACAAAACAGTGTTTACTAAATTATCAGCTTACTTGAATACAAGTGTCACTGCTACCAATTGCAAGAACATTGCCTTCCTTCACCCAAGATACACTTGATGCATAATCATTATTTGGTATTTCCAGTAAATGTTTTGTCATTTGTGTTTCATAGTTCCAAATGTATACACCAGCACCCAGACCAATTGCAATGCAATTATTTGAACCCCAGTCAATTAAATTCAAATCTATGAAGAAAATAATTTTGGTAAAATTAGGTTTATTTTTTTTTATTTGAAAACTGTATAGCAAATTCACATTAACTTACAAAAGTCATTCAAAAGACCAGGAGCATCTAAAATCTTTTCAGCAACTTTGCAGATATATCGACTGCTTTTTAGTTTGGATGATCCACGGTTTTGACAATAAACAACACGAAGATTGTTCTGGTAACCTGCATAATAAAATCAGAGACAGAACAACAAAATTATAGGTTCAATTGTATTTTTTTTCTCTGTGAAAGCAGGCTTTAACTAACCATCTCGGGCAGCAGGAGCTTTCTGTTTAAAATGGAGGATTCTTGAATCGGATTCATTTTCCAAGTTGTCTTTCACAGCTTTCTCATAGTGTACTTTTTCAAGAGCCTCGGGACTGAGTTCATTCTCCCTTATACCTTTGTCTACTTCACTGACAAGCTGGAAATAGTTTTTATCATTGTCCATAGAAATTCTGCTAGGTATGAATCGATCAACAAGCGGCGTTGTTCTACCAGGCGTTTTATGAGGCGTCTTTCTCGACGTCCTCGGTGTCTTCAATGGTGTCTTGCCCGTCTTTCGCTTTGGAGATTTACACGGTGTTTTCAGCATTCTGTTTCCATTGTACGGAGACAGTGGAATGGTGGCTGAACTATTGTTCTTTTTCCTCTTCCAGCGAGGAGTTGTAACTCTTGCTAGCGGTGCGCTAAGCTTTTCCAAACAGTCTTCGATACCGGATTCAAACTGGAAATGGCTCATGGCTGATCCGCTGTTGCAAAATACACGTAATCTAATAAATATTTGAAGGAAAAATTACAGCTTCAAAACGCACTACTCACATACCGTATGATATATAATTTTCAAGTTTTTTAATTCTTCTTTTTCGCTCAAATATCAATGAATTTTGCTGCATAGAGAAAGAATGAAGAAACGCAAACAAGTCGCCATATTTAAAGCTCCGGTTCCTGCCATCTGATTGGTCAATTTGAGAGAGAGGCGTGGTTATTACTAGTGCCAGGTCTTCCAAAAAAAAACCGGAAAAGGCGCGAAAACTGCTAGTGGTGAATTGTGCTGGTGCGCATGCGGGAAAGTAACAAAATAACATGGTAATGATGGTACATGGCATTGAATGACGAATGTGCAAGAAAATGAGGTGTCCAAGAACAAAAAAGAGTCGGAGAATATCAATTTTTATCAAATATTGAGTATAAAAGAAATAAATTATACTTCAATGAAGTATGAAGAGTGTGTAATAAGAACATGGGGCAAGTAAGGTCTAAATATAGGTGTTTATAATTTTAATATATAGGCTGTTAAGAGGGATCTTCAATTTAGGAGAACCGTTGTTAGAAGTTGAGAATTTCATCCCTTCATGTCTCAAATTTTTGTGTTACTTTGCTACTTATTTGCAGCTCACACAAATTGTAAATTATCCACTTAGCTTATTCCACTGTTGGTTAATTGGTATTGGAATTAGCTGATCCAGCTAATGTGTGTGTGGAGGTCGTGTATTATGCATTGATCAGTAAAATTCTATAATATCCATAAAGAAACGTTAGACTGCAAAATTTGCAAAAAAAACAATTTGAAATTGCAGGTGACTACCATCATTTAACAATATTGGATGAGATTGAGTGTGATATCAAGAATTATCAAGCCGACGTTTGAGGCTTGATAATTCTGTATATCATGCAAAAACCGCATTCAAAATTGTTTTATTATGTATTTCCTTTTTAGAGAGGAAGCCTGCGCCATTATTGACAACAAACTAGCGGCAAAAAATTACGTCACCTACGGATAATTTTCAATGTTGCATAGGTGGCAAGACATTGGGAATTATCTGTAGGTTTTTAGCCAATCACAATTGAGATTTCATTAGTAATGCATAATCATAAAATTTGTTTGCACTTGAAAACTTACTATGCTCCCTTAAATTAAAAATGAGGGTAATAATCAGTTTAATTTTGCATCACTACAATATGACAATACAAGTACTTACTTGTATGGGTAATCAGCTCCTTGTATTTCTAGGGTTATATCCCATGACATACATAAACAGGAAGTCATAATTATGGATGATATTGGAAACAAACTGTGTGTCAACACTTTGAAAATTGAGCCTTGTGGCTTTTCTTTAGGAAATTATTATAACTTTATTGGGGATATGGTTAGAAATGAGAGAAATGATACTTTGATGATGCAAGCATCTTCTGCAAGGTGTATAAATGACTTGGATATTGATATGTTTGTGCAAGCTTTAGAATTAAGACGAAAATCTCTTAAAGAGAGTGATTTATGAGAAATGATTCAAGCGGAAACTAAATAGTTCTAGGAAAAATATGTAATAATAAAATTATGATATAGTAATAACAACCATTTTACTCCATTTATTAGTATAGATATGCATTCAATACATGCAGATTAATTTATGTCTTTTTAAATATTATCTGAGTTATTCTTTGAATGTCCTCATTGTTTCAGTACCAGCATGTTTGGGAAAGTACACAGTTCTCAATAGTACTGCAATTCAATAACCATCCTATGGTTATCAAATTTGGTGATCAGATCAGCCAGTGGTGCGCATCAAGAGAATATCTGGTGGGGTGGCCTACGTTCTTGTTGTGACTTTTTAATATTTGTATTTGGTAATTGATAGGAAAAGCCTAGTAATGAAAGTTATAAGGCGTATATTTTACATGCATACGCGCACGAACCAAAAATTTTAGTGGAGGAAAATGTCCACCCGACGAGTGGTGAAAGCTTTAAAAGTGCTTGAAATCTAATCCTCTGGAAACCTAATTTTGGGCTGCCAATTATGGTATGATCTTCTAAGCGTCTCTATTGGGAGGAATTCATAAGACTGAAGTCATTGTAATCGAAAAAAACGTAAACAATTTTTTGCCGCTGCTGAGTACTCTTTCGTTGATTTTGAAGCAGATGAAAATGAGCAGCACATCACATACGATCGAATACATATCTGCGATACTCGGCTTTCTGAGACGAGAGTCGTCACAGTCCTGAGTAAGACAGTCCATGCATGCACAGTCAATTTTTTTCCGACTCGTGCAGACAGGGCGGAAAAAAATTTGCATGTTAACATTTCTAGAAAACGGTAACAACCAACGCTCCAAGCCATTATGGTCTTTTATGGACATTAAAACCCTCGCGCTGGTCATATTCAAATTTCCTATGTAGCTAAACCTTGAAGGCTCCACTGAATCTTCAAGCTAGTTAGGACCGCGATTTGATTCTTTGAGACGAGATATGTTAAACACTCTAACCACCAATTAAAACATTCCATGCACTCACCAATATAGCTATTAAACTAGGTTACCTGCAAGGTAGGGATTGCTGCGGGCATTAAAAACAAATTGAACCAAATATCATATAAGAACAGGATTGGCAAAACTGTACAATTGTTAAATTTTATTACAAAAGCGTTGAAATTTGTGAAATATGTGTCACACGATCACGTTTTCATGCAACTTGGAATTCTGCTTGAAATCAGTAAAGTCAATGAAGATATGCTATATGGATTGGAAAAATATCAACGCAAAACACGTACTTTGGCATTTTACATTTCTCAAGAGTAGGGTTGTATTGCAAGTTGCAAAAAAATTGCATCGTGTAACAGGGCCTGAACTAAACTCTAAAGTTAACAAAAAAAAGAATGTAATCCACCTTTGATGTATTCGGCGACCCTTCGGCATCGTCGTCTTGCCTTAAATAGTTCAAAGAATTGCTATACTCGTTTGCTGTATTTTCGTATATGGCAGATTGCCCAGACCCACTATGACGATGAAACACGAGGCTCAATGACAAAGATGTAAAAATAAACTTGGATTATTAAACTAAATTGTGGTCTAACAATAAGATAAAATAGGAAATACTATCAAGCGCAGAGGTGCAAATAAAATCAAAGATATAATCAGTTCCTTCAAAGAATTGCTACTCATTTACTGTATTTACATGCGGCAAGCGACAACGAAACACGAGCCGCAATGACAAATATGTAAAACATAACACTTGGATTTTTAATTTTAAACACTAAATTGCAGCTTTTACTGAGCTTTTTACCCCTAGTAAACCTCACACTGAATTAAGCGCAGTACCGTAGTGCAAATGAAACCGAGAAACGAACAGTTTAATAGTTAAAAGAAATGAAATCCTTGGATTATCAACACTGAGTCAAAATATAAGTCCAAACAGGCAAAACAATCGACAATATACTTAAAATACGATTTGATAGTCAATACTGTATATGCTGAACGAAAAATCTAGACATCAATGCGCGAATATTTATATTGTGAATCAAAACAAATTACAGTAGAAATCAAGCAAAACGACAAGCAACTGTCAACCTTATAATAAATGAAAACAAAGGTGAATGAAAAACAGAATGTATGTTAAATCTAGTCCTCTTCCAAACTTGGACGTTTGACTTTTAATCCATATTGGTATTTAATCCATATCACTGAAACGTGAGATTAATTTGTGCACAACTGCGCATACAAACAGGCCTGATACAACTGTGTCACTGCGCACAACCACAATGCAACGCAACCCTAAAAATTTGCTTTTCACTGCCTACTGCACTTATTATTATCAAAGCCAATATCTTTAAGCATTTCTAAGCATGTTAATAAATTTTACTGATTGGTAATGTTTGCGTTGCTCTCTAATTAATTCTAAGTATTTGCATTTCTGCGTTTAACATTTTTTTCAAGATTTGATTCAAAACCAACTGTTAGTTCAACAATATAGAGACATTTTGTAGAGGTTAATAGAAGCAAGTCAGTCTCTTTATTATTAATAATAATGATAAAGAGATATCTTACGAGTGTTCTATTTGTTGGGACTGTGCAGCACAATATGATGCACGCCATTTGAAAGGCCGTGTAATTCTGTAAAACATAGTCGATATCCGTGTATGTGGAATACGTACAGGAATTGCAATTAAAACCAGTTCGGTTTATGCCACATGATCACATCTATGTATGTGGGTCAACTACTTCTCACGCATTGCCCTAAAATGATAATCAATTTACTCGATCGAGGGCTTTATTCTAATTACAGTTTAGAAATGCATAAATAAGCTATACATCTTCGTAATTTTAAAGCTTAAACGAAAAAATGGCTAAAAATCCTGTGATTATTAATTAATAACCAAATTCTACTTTTGAATGATTGAACACAGTTGAATGCGTGTGAAGCCGAATCCGCGGCTAACTTTACAGTGGTGTTTTTGCAGCAACTTTTCTTTGTATTTGATGGGAAAAGCCTAGTAGTCAAAGTTATAAGGCATGTATTTTACGTGCATTGGCATATCAATTGAAAATTTTAGTGGAGACACAAATATCCACCCGATGAGAGGTGAAAGTACTTGAAATCTAATCCTCTGGAAAATTATGGTAGAGATGATTGATTTCCTAAGCGTTTTTTTACTGGGAGGTATTAATTAAGACTAAGTCATTTTAGTCGATAAAAACGTAAACAATATTTGCCGCTAGTGTTTTGTTGATTTTGAAGCAGATGAAAATGTGTACCACAAAACATACGATCGAATACATAACTGCGATAAAGAACTCGTCTTTTCGAGACGACGCTGCATGAGTCGTAAAACAATCAAATTTCTAGAAAACGGAACAACATGATATATCAGTAACAACCGAAGCTCCAAACCAATATGATCTTTTATGGACATTACAAGCACTCTCTCACCATATTACTAGACCAAATGATCCTTCGCGCTGCTTATATTCAAGTTTGCTATGTAATTTGATTCTTCGAGACGAGACATGACAAACGCCAACCACCAAGAAAACATTTCATGCACTCACCAATATATCTTTGCAATTACTACTAGAAACGTCCTCCCAAGATGTTTGCGCTTTTACATAGGAGAAACTTGAAGAGTATTTAGAGCAAGTAAGACACCACATCAAATTCGAAACTGCTTGGCCTTTGGCTTTGCTGGAACTGACCGAAATGTAGTAA